GGAAGGAATATATTGTTTTTTTAATAGCCAATCTGTTGATAATCGAGGGGCTGATCTTTAGTCGAGCCCCAGTACAACACGTGATCTTGTTTGCGCCTCTGAAAGTCACGAGCGGTTCGGTAGCGACTAAAGACGCGTGCTTATCGCGCGAACCTGTTTTCGATTCTAATTTGAGAAATCTCAGATTGCCAGGGGGCTGAGGGGGGGTCTGAGGAGGGGGCTGAGGGGGGGTCTGGGTAGCTTATAAACCAGACAGTCGACGCCCCGCCTAGAGAAACTTTATCAGGGAGAAACGGAATCCGCAAGGGGTCATCGACTAATCGCGCGCTCGAACAGCCGAACAGCATGAAACGGCATGAAAAGTAGTAGCGTATTTAAGCGCGACTTTCAGTCGACGGCCGTTCCCCAACCAATTCATACAGCCATGTCTCGGACTGTACTAATCCTGTTCGTTGCCTTGTCCTTGCAGTGTGCCGCCCTTGTGGATGGGGGCTCAATCAACTATGGAACCGGAAACGAGCTGGACACGTCCGAGTCCAGGTCCGCCTGTAAGTCCACGCTGCGGGAGTTCAATGTGCGCCTGGAGGCTCCGCTGGCCGCCGACGAGCGACTGGGACTCACCGGCGATGTGAAGGCCCTCGGCGAGTGGCAGTTGTCGCGCAGCGTGGCCCTCGAGTCGCTGGACGAGCTCAACTGGCAGGCCACGGTGCCCATGCAGTCGTGTCGCCAACTGGAGTACCGCTTCTTCGTCTACGTGGAGGATCTGTCCGGCTACAAGCAGATACGCCGCTGGGAGACTCACTTCAAGCCCAGATCGTTGGGACCCTGCTCGGAGCTGCAGTGCAGCCAGTTGGACGTCTTTGGCATCACCTCCGACAACTCCGACCTGAAGCCGCAGGTGCATCGCGGCTGGCTCAACCATGAGGTGATCCTACAGCTCAAATTCAACGGGGAGAAGATGTTCCAGGTGCACGACATCGAGACCTTCGATCCGCAGCATGTCCAGCTGAAGATCGTGCCCGTGGAGCAGACCGCCGGCCTGCATGTGGAGTACACCAAGCAGGAGTATGGACGCAGCCAGCTTGAGCAGCAGCCCACCTTCGGAGTGCCGTACACCAAGAACGACATTGTGATCTTCCACATCACGCTGCCGCTGGAGAAGATGATGCATCAGCACTTCCGCCTGGAGTGCTACAGCATGTCCAACGAGCTGCTGGGCAGCGCCACTCTGGTCAGCTCGGACCTCAGCGGCAGCGAGGGACTTCTCCACTTGCCCATCAAGTCGGCCAGGGATGCGGATGAGACGCTGGCCAGGCTGCGGCTGCCGTATGTCACAGTGCAGCCGTATCGCTACTCGCCGCTGGACTTCAAGACCACTTTCGCCCACTACTGGCCCAAGAGCTGGCCCAATCTGGACGTGGGCCACCGCGGCAATGGCAAGAGCTACATTGCCAATGCCCCGGCGGAGCGGGAGAACACCATCGCCTCGTTCCTGAGTGCCCACGAGCACCATGCCGACATGATCGAGTTGGATGTCCACTTGACGGCGGATGGTGTGCCCGTGATCTATCACGACTTTGGCCTGCGCACTGCGCCGCCGGGCAAGCAGATCAGCCGACCGGATCAGCTGGAGTATGTGCTCATCAAGGACATCAACTATGGGCTGCTGAAGCGACTGCGCATCTTCTCGGTGATTGCCGGCCAGGTGGTGGAGTATCCCTCGCACAATGCGGAGTCGCGGAGCGAGCACCGCATATTCCCCACGCTGGTGGAGGTGCTGGAGCAGCTGCCCAAGTCGCTGGGCATCGATGTGGAGATCAAGTGGCCGCAGCGCCGCCAGGGCGGTGGATCCGAGGCGGAGCAGACCATCGACAAGAACTTCTTTGCCGACAAGGTGCTGCACCAGGTGATCGAGAAGGGCTGCGGCCGACCCATCATATTCTCCAGCTTCGATGCGGACATGTGCACCATGCTGCGCTTCAAGCAGAACATCTTTCCGGTGATGTTCCTCACGCAGGGCGAGACCAAGAAGTGGCAACCGTTCCAGGATCTGCGCACGCGCAACTTCATGGCGGCCGTGAACAACGCACAGGCCTTCGAGTTGGCCGGCACAGCGCCACATGCCGAGGATTTCCTCGGCGAGAATGCCCCCGAAATGCTGCAGAAGGCCAAGGACCTCGGCCAGATAGCCGTCATCTGGGGCGACGATTGCAACTCCAAGGAGCGTGTGCAGTATTTCACCCGCATCGGGGCCACGGCCACCTGCTACGATCGCAGTGATCTCTTCATGCCGCCCGGCAAACAGGAAGCCTTCTTCAAGTCACCCGCACTGATGGCCGAGTTCGCAGCCCAGTGTCGGATCTAATGGAAATGGGGTCACTCAACGGGCGGGTATATCTAAGCAATGGTTAATCATTAGACTTTTAAAGTTAGCTGGTATATTTACTTAGACACCAACTGGGAAAGAGAAATGTGGGAGAAGCTTTAAGTGTGGTTGGGTAATTTGCAGTTTCTCGTTGCCCAACGGAAACAAACGAAACAAAAAATCATCTCTAAACACGTTAAGCCGTCATTTGGCATAATTACTATGCACATGCAAAAAAAGAATTCCCCCAAAAAAAATTAAGTAGCACCACAAAAGACAATATGAAGAAAGCGAGGCGCTGAGCCGAAAATTACAAAGGCACACATATGTACACCTATGAACACTACCTGCTAAAAATCGATCTATACCTCTATGCCAAGCATGCAAACAAAAAATAATGAGAATTTGCTAATTAGCTTTTGTTAACTAACTACAGAATAATCTATAAAATCTAAAGGCGAACATATATTAAATGTGTTGTTTGGTGTTTTTGTGAATTGTGCAAAAAACTATTTTATATAAATTAGAGAAATATTTTATATAACTGTTGTAATATTAATTCGATTTGTTTAACTTTAAACGATTTGTTTACTATTTTTTGTTTTTAAATTTTGTTTTACTAGTTCACGAAATATGTATATTTTTTTAATATTTAAAAAAGTAGATGAATATCACTTTGAAAAAAAGTATATATAAATAAGTCGCTTACACCTTTCCAACTCCTAGAAAAACCTAAAAAGCAATGAGATACTTTTATCAATATTAAACATCAGTTTAACGACAAACACAAATCAAAAACCAAAGGTTATTGATAAAGTCAAGTGTAAATAAAATTACAAAAAAATATTTTCATAACAACTTAAGCGAACGACGTGTTTTACTCTGATCTCCCTTACAAATGAAAAAGAAATTTGCTGTCAAAGTCGAATGTAAAAATTCGATCCGCTTACATTTGATGGCCCCGTGACGAATGTAAAAGCAGCCATGAAAATGCCGAGCCCCAAAAACACGGTCCATAAACGGAAAACGGAGAGTGGGCCATAAAAAGGTTTGGCTCTGGAAGTCAGGCCTAAAGACCGTTCGGCTTTTTGGTTTATGGTCAATTAGAGAGCGCCTCATTTGCATCTTGGTCTTGACATGGCCAAATGCGAATGTCTCTTTGCTGTGGGCCTGGTTTCATTGCTCTTAACCACCTCTCTCGAAGCCATTCCAACTTGGAAGTGTTTGTACAAAGAATTCCCAGTGGACGTGCAGAAGGTGATGATCTTGACATTCGATAAGCAATAGGTCGCTAATAACTTACAACTTGACTTGGCTTTTGTAGATCAAGGGCGGCTGGTATGTTTATGGGACCAATCCGGACAGAATAAAAGCCTGCTACTTTAAAGATCGTAAGTAAATTGAATTAAGATGAAATTGTTTACATTTGTTTTTTAAAGTTTAATACGGTAGTCTATGTTTACTGACCAATGCAAATCAAATAGATAACTTGGTTACCATAAAAGGGAAATTTAAAGCTTGAATTTTTATATTATTTTTTATTTTCATTTTATACAAGAATAATATTAAATATATATGTATTGAAAGTAATATTTAGTGTGGCATGCAATTAGTTCTACAAATTATTTAATAAAAATCCGTTTTAAGGAATTATTCAAGTGCTATCAAAATTATTTATTTATTTAAGTTTTGTCAACAGATTATTTAAAAGAACCCTTTTCTGCCTAGTCTACATCTAATTAAAATAGTTAAATTGATAACATTTAAATTGTCTTATAAATTTATTCAATTGTTATTTTGTTATTAGTGGATCTCTATTGGACAAGGATCACCAAAACGGACTACGATAATTATGCGGTGGAACTTCACTGCTCCTTGCCCTGGATGCGTCACCAGCTGGCCATCTACACCCGGCAACCCAGTCCCACCGAGGAAACTCTCGAAGAGATATCTTCGTACCTCAAGACAGTTGATCTGTCACTGAAAAACTTCACCTTAAGCCGGAAGAGAAAGGACTGTCGGTCGAAGAAGCCTCCGATAATGCAGCGCTGGCACTTGTCCAGGTACCTGGTCTTGGACTATAATCCGGTTTATGTCAAGCCCTTGGTGGAGAACGAAAACATCTGAGCCAGTCATTGTATCGCATCGCATCTCTCCTCTCAAGCTGGCAACTTTCTTTGGCCAGAAATTTACATATGCCAAAATTGGTACAAATATGCGAATATCTTAAAACAAAGAACGAACTTTTTTTTGAGAAAACCAAAGGGAAGATACTCTGTGTGCAATAAAGATTGACTTTAATACACAGAAATTATAAATTAATTTAAATGTGATCTATAAATAATATATTCAGTGAAAGGTGCCCCTCCGTCATCAATTAAAATTCCTCATAGTCACGATAGTATCTTTATTATGTTTTAATTGGGCAGCAGTTTTATCTGCTCACGATGTCATCGCTGGTGACCAATGATCGCAAAACCTCACCTATCAACTCAATTAGTGAGCCGCTGACTTATTAGTCAGAGTTTCTTCTTCGATGGCAGCTCATTCGATTCAGATTCCGACTCCAATTTTTGGACGGAAACAAAACCATGGTGAGCTTTAAGAAATTCTTTCATTCAGTTGTTTGTCATCGTCGGGTCAAGTTGCCTCCGCGCATCAAAACCGCGTTCGTTTTCATTTTCGATTTGATTTTGGTTTCGGTTTCTCAGACCTTAAGTCTATCCATATTTCGAATTATATTGGCCGAAAGAGAAAACTCGTTTCGGTGGCGCGAAGATGGTGATGTTGCTGTGTGGAATGAGGAAAAATGTATCGATCTCGCGGCGTGTTGAATGTGTTAAAATCAATTAGCATACTGCTGCTGCTGCTGTTGCAGCTTCTGCCGTTTCTGCCATTGTGCGGTGCCTTTGTGAATGAGTCGTCGTCGTTGTCGTCTGTTTTCGGGCCCGAGAAGCTGCAGGCCTTCAAGATCTTCGACGATGAGCAACCCAGCCAGATCTCGGGTCGCAGTTTCATCTGCGTGCCGCTTTTTCGGGTCTTTAGCCTGGAGCTAGGGGCCAATACTCGACTATCCGCCGACGAATATGTGGCTGTGAGTGGGGATCATCCGGCCCTGGGTTTTTGGCAACTTGATAAGGCACTGCCACTCAAGGAACAGGATAAATCCCGAACGAAATGGTATCTCAGGGTGTGGATTTGCGCCAGTCAACGATTCTACTATCGCTATGTGATCTACTCGAAGAACGCGAAAGGCAAACGAATCCTGAGGAGCTGGGAGGGCCAACGAGTGGCCAGAATGCTGCAGACCTACGAGATCTATCGTTCCCCGGGTCTGGACATTTTCGGCGAGGCCTATCCCAACTCAGTGGGCGGAGGATTCCATTTGGAACGCGGTTGGCTGCAGTACGAATACGTCATAGAGCTCAAGTTCGTCTGGCAGAATCACTTTGATATAGCCGAAATAGCAAGCAATGCCAAATACCGCTTGATTTTGACACCACTCAATGTGATAGATGACACTCGAATTGAGGTCTCCAGATTTGCCTACAAACAGTCAGCTTTCAGATCCCAAAACCAAAGGGGAGTACGTTACACTCCGGGATCCATTGTCATCTTCCGGATTTATCAGCCCTTGGATACCTACAATGCCCTACGCCTGTCTTTGTATCAGGCATCCAGAGATGTCCAATTATCCGTGGGAGAAGTTTACATATTTCCCGAGCAAATCAAGGGAAGTCGTGGCATTTTGCAGCTACCCATCTTTGCCAGCTTACAAAATGTAGCCATTGGTGAGGTAACGCTGCCCTACTTGGTGATTCAACCCATGCCAAAAGTTGAGGCTGGCAATTTGAGAGCTAGTTTCCATCACTACTGGCCGGATAATTGGCCCACCTTGGATGTGGGCTATCGAGGCCTGGGCGCCAGCTTTTTCCAATCCTCAACCAGTTTTACAGAGAACACCATCGAAAGTTTTCTGGCAGTACAAAAAGCCAAAGGTGATATGGTCCAATTGGATGTGCAGCTTACAAAGGATTATATTCCCATAGTGTGGCATGGCTTTGGATTTTATACCTCAGATAGAGATCGATCTATAAGGGATCGGTTTGACCTACGATTCGTGCTGATCAGGGAACTCACCTATGCCGAACTCAAGGCCAGTCGTGTGTTTATCCTTAAGCGTTGGACCCTCCAGGAGTACACCCATCTGAATGTCAAGGATGTGAATCAAAATAACAGAATCTTTCCCAAACTCTCGGAAGTTTACGAGGCTCTACCAAAAACATTGGGTCTCCTGGTCGAGATCAAATGGCCACAAATAATGGCATCGGGTGTGCAGGAATCCACACAGAGTCTGAATAAAAACAACTATGTGGATAGGATTTTACAGACCAGCATATATCATGGTTGTGGACGTCCTCTAATCTTCGCCAGTTTCGATGCTGATATTTGCACTATGATTAGACTCAAGCAGCATGTCTTTCCTGTGATCCTAATGAGCATTGGCAGGTCCAACATCTGGGATCCTTATATGGATCTAAGGGCCCAAAGTTTCCAGCAGGCCATCAATTTTGCTCAGTCCGCTGAAATTCTCGGTACAGCTGTTCACGTAGAGAACTTCCAGAGCAAACATCAGTTGGTCAGCTTGGCCTTGGATCTCCAGCAAGTTTTATTTTTGTGGGGTAACGATCTCCAGAACGTCCACCTGCTGGAGCAATTTCGAGCCTTGGATGTAACTGGTCTCATCTACGACCAAATGGATCGAGTGGGTCCCTCCAACTGGAAGCGGTCCGCCTTTTTCCGGGCTCCCCAACTTCTCGAGGTGTTTGGAGCTCAGTGCGTGACCAGTGGCAATTCAACAACAATTCCAGGCGTTAAGCCAGCTAAGCCAACCATATGGCCAAAGTTAAGATAATGCTGAAGTATGGATACAAAAAATATTAAGTTTTAGAAAAATGTTTGAAAATGAAAAATTGAAACCAGAGTGAGAAAACGTGAATTTACCTAGGGACAAAAAAAAAAAATTAAAGTAATGATAGCTAATTTTATGAATTAGGATTAAGGATTTGTCAAAAAACTTTAAGTACAAGTATAAGCAATCAATTAAGTGGCTTAGTTTAGTTATTAGCAGAACGGGATATACAACAGTCAATAAAGAAAAACCAAATGTAGCAATAAGCTTTTTTAAATATAATTACTTGATTTAAGTTAGCGAAAAATTTAATTTGAGCTTTTAAATGTTTTATTATTTTTTAATCCTGTATTTTGAAAAAAGATTTTAAATTATGAGTTAGATTATTATTTATAAATTTTTTATTATTTTTTAATTCTTTGTTTTCCAAAGATACCACATACATACTGTACAACAAATGTTTTTTATTAAGGAGCAAGGAATTTATTTCATAATTTTTGAATTGGGAAAAGCATTTATTATTATAGTATTTTACTTTAAGCTCTTAAAAGATTACCGAATCAATTTAACAATTTAGCTAAAAAATTAAATACATAATATATGAGAAAACCTTTTAGCAGTCTAAGAAATAAAACCAATGAGTGAACATAGGTTATAGTAAATGTTAAACTAGAAGAATTAATAAGCCGCTGTAGCTACACAGTAACCGATCTCATAATAAAGAAATTTATAGAAAATGTAAAATTTTATTAAACTGATTTATTTATACAAGCTTTGCTGACATCGCGCACCAGGTAGTCGTACTCCTCCTCGCACAAAATCTAAGCTCACACACAGGCACACACCCGTATCCGTAACCATCAATCAATTAATCAATCAATCAATCAGTGCGGAAGTGGGCCGCTCTATTGAATGGAGCAGTTGGCATCAGTGTAGAGGTCCATGTAATCGTCGGAGACACAGGCGCTGCCGATGGGCATCGGTTGACAGACGCCCTGCACCTTGCTGACCACCTCCACGTGGCAATGGCGATGTCCGTGGGCGGCCAGCTTGTGGAATCCCCCGGTGGGATGCTTGAGGATGAGCTGTGGCTTGTGGTTTGAGGTGGTACGATGCTTGACGGGCGGAGTGGGTTCGTCAAAGGTTAGCCAGTCGGGCGGCATCGAGTGTTGGGATCTGGCATTTGACCCCTCTCCGATCACATCCTGTTCCACCTCCAGGGGCAGATCGACGCCATCTACGCCCTCGTCCAGGTCGATGGGAAAGCTGACTTTGGACTTGGCCTCATTTCCCTCGGAGCTTAGTAACTGCTGGGGATTCAGGACCAGGGCGTTGGCTATCAGTAGGGTGGTGGCGCAGTGCAGCAGCAGATGCAGCAATGGGGCCATGGCCATTCTCTACCAACCGAGTCCAGCCGGAATTCCGAGTTCTTTTTCCTTGCACTGGCCGTGCATGAATGTGGCTATTCCTGCTGGAAAAACGGGCTTTTATAGCAGCTCTAGGGGAGCCATAAAGGGTGGACAGTCAATGACCCAAACAATTGAAATTGAAAAGAAGCCACTCAAGGAGGAAGCGCAGTCCAGCATCCGGATAAATCCTCACCCATACGCGCACACAATGGGCGTAATTAATTATAGTTGAGTATACGCCACGTAAGCCGCAATGACAAGGACGTCCTGCGGTGCTTCCTCCCTGGGAGCCGAGAAAATTGGAAATCCATTCCTATTCCCATTCCGTTGGCGTTCATTCTCGTCCTCAGTTCGATTTGGGCGCCGCCTTCCTTTTGTATTTCCGGCAATTATTTTCAACGATGTGACAATATTGCCGACAGTCGGGATGCGAAGGAGCAGAGGAATTGGTCTTGTGGTGTGGGACCTTTAACGACTTCATAAGCATCTGATTCAATTGAATTTAAATGCAGTTGCCTTGGAAACGCTGGGAAAAAATACACCCACCCAACACACATAGACAAAATCCACGACAACACTGAGCGGAAGTGAAGCTGACGCCATTTTTAAAATGGCGTATACGTGTGCGACGTGTTTATGGCAGATTTTTTGGATAAATGACATGACAGACGGCAGCTGCCTAACAAGGCTAGGCGAGGCGAAAGCCAAGTCAATAACAACAGCTATCTGGTATAGAAATACAGATTTCGAGTAAAACGAATTCAGTTCAGCCTGTGATGATTGGGCTATGTGACTTCCCGTGATTTCGCCACGTGACAGCTTTAAGTCTTTAAATCTATTTAAATTGAAATGGCTGAAGTTAAACCAATTGCATAACTTAATAACTCATTGTTAATTAAGGCCAGTGATGATGGCTGTACAAGATGATAATGAGTGCAGTTAACACAGCCATTAAATAATTTTCATTTTCAGTATCAATTCAAGTGTCTTTGCAATCGTTCCCCTGGCAATTCCCGTCACAGTTCAGATCATCTCTAATGGAAACATTTCTCGGGGGGAAAGGCAAAGAGGCTTTGACTTTGGCGGCACGCAGGATGAATAGCTAAGGATAAGTAGCGCCGAGTAGACAATGCCGAGAGGACTCGCTGAATCATTAAATTGTAAGCCATCCGGAGGCTTTCTCCTCCTTGCAGCAACAAAAAATATGGGCCAAAGTGGCACGTGAAATTAATTTAAAATGCTCTGATTGTGGATGAATGACATTTGTTGTCGACTGCTGCTACTGCTGCTACTGCTTAGCTTGTTAGCAATTCAATTCGGTCATTATAGATGGCTATAAGGCTGTAAGGACTAACCCTACCGCGGTCTACCTCAATTTCCTAGCGAAGGCAAGCTAATTAAACGCCTTTGCCGATGACGATGCCTTTGCCCAGCTAATTAGAGCAGCTGTCACAGATGAAGCTGCGATGCCAGGACGATGGCAGCCAAGTCACAGAGGCAGTACAAATAATTCAATTAAATTGCTTACGAACAGAGGACTCATCAACAACAACAACGGCAGGGAAAAGGGAAAAGGGGGGAAAGACAAACCGCAGGCAGCCACAGAAGCCGAGGAATTTCCACAAACCGCCGTGTCGAGCCAAAGCCAAAGTCAAAGCCAAAGACGGCTAATGCAAATACCCCTTTTGAAAAATAACCACAAAGCCAAAATGGAATGTGGAAATTGAAATACAGAGACAAGGGGTTACAGGAAAGCAATGATAATTCAGGAGAATTCAACAATGATTTTGGGATAGGTGCTGCACAAAGGAATACTAATAAATGTTAGAAATAAGTTGAACAAAGGATTTAAACGCAGAGTTTCAGAGACAAGATCTTAAAAGTATACCGTTCGAAAATCAGAGACATCTGTTATGGAGTTTTAACTTCAGGTTTTTGGTCACTTTTCTGCAATGTAATTTTTTCGGAAAAAATCGACCCAATCTCACTAACCAAGATTTAAACGCAGAGTTTCAGAGACTAAAGCCACAAGATCTTAAAAGTATACCATTTGAAAATCGGATGTCTCTAAGAAAAGTTATGGACTTATAACTTGAGATTTTTCGTCACTTTTCTGCAAAGTCAGTTTTCGGAAATTTAGAAAGGGTGTAATGTCATTAAAATGGCAATTCGAAACATTAACCCAAGATTTAAACGCAGATTTTAAGAGACTTAAGCGAGAAGACATTAGAGATATACCACTTTAAAATGGGAGGTCTGTAGGAAAAGTTGTGGTTTAAGAACTGAAAGTTTTTAGTCACTTTTCTGCAAAGTTATTTTTCGGAAATTTAGCAAGGGGTTACATCATCAAAATTACAAGAAATCGACACAATCTCACAAACCAAGATTTAAACGCAGAATTTCAGAGACTAAAGCCACAAGATCTTAAAAGTATACCATTTGAAAATCGGATGTCTCTAAGAAAAGTTATGAACTTAGAACTTCTGGCCCTTTGTCTGCCTTTGTCGGAAATTTAGAAAGGGCCGCGCCAGGCAATAACTCTCAATAAATAAATAACTTTACTAATCGAATAGCTAGCTCTCTAATAAATTCTCTTAAATATTTGCAATTGAACAGCGCTACAAATGAGCCAAATAAAATTTCAATTGAATTGAAACGCAATAAGCTGAAAAATATTTACAAAGTGATAGATAAAATTGCATATGATTTTATTTAAAAGGAAATTGAACAGGAAATTGAATTTGTACAGAGTTTTATTGCGTTTAAATCAAAAGTTGATTGAAGCCTCATAAAAAGCGAACTCAAAAAAATGTATGTGTAAAATGAATTATGTATGAAAATCTGCAATGCGTTGAAGTGTTTAAAAGTTCATGCAGCAAACCACCCACTTATTTTAAATAGACAAGCTGGTTCTATTTATATGATTAAAGAATAGTCTCGATTATAAATAAATTATTTCATTATAAATAATAGATTTGGTTTTGATGGTACACTTCATTTCATTAAAATTGAAATGTAATTATGGGATTACAGATTTGTAATAAGGTACTTGACGTTTTTGCCGCTAAACCAATGTTTAATAATACTTTAGGTAATGCAATCAGGTAATGCATAAAAACATGAAACCTGAATGGCTATTGAAATTTAGTCTTTATTAATTACATGTAAAAATAGATGGACAAACTAAACCAACGTTATGCTATCAGCAATGGCTTATAGATTTTACTAGCCCACCTGGACACTTTTAGTACGTCTAATTTAGCCCGTTTTAATGTCTTACTCCACAGAAAGGCCATCAAGTTTATGGCCAGCCCTTAACCAACTCAACTGCCCCTTGACGCTTTTTCTTGGCTACAAAGTGCCAAAAACGGGTGACAAAATTGGCAGCAGTCAGAAAGTGAGGCAAACTGCAAACAACCATTTGTTCGCCAGTGACTTAATGCGGCCATATACTTTTTGGTTCTGTCTTTGGAATGTAGAAGGTTCCAGTTCCAGGCGTCCGCTTGCTCAATTTAATCTTTGACGCGCCAAAAATGATGGAGCACGGACAACTTTTTGGCGCCGGCAACGTTTTAATTTGCATTAAAACGCGACGCGACTGGAGATGGCAAAACTCGGTCGAGCAACTATTAAACTAAACTTACAACACGGTTGGGTTATAAGTTTTTCGTTCTCGCGCTCCGTGAGCTTGCATACAAATGGGCCTCGAAATCGGCAAGTCGCGGCCCCAAGGATTTTCCATTCCCTCCCTCAGACTTAAGGCTATAATAATACCCGCTTTTGGCCACAATTTGGTGAGAAGGTAGGCGGGTTGAGGAATGGAGGAATGTGGCAAAGGATCCAACAAGTTGTCGGCTTAGTGTGTGGGCCGTTTTGTCTGCCCAGCGGGAATCATAAATTGTGTGATGGGGCTTAGCCGCCATGAAGTATGGCCGATCGGGTGAATGATTTACGCCAAAGTCGGAAACGTAGAAGGCAAAACTTTGATGCCCAAAATCATACAATAGAAGTTGCAGAAACGTACAAAAAGTTTTCACAGTTAGTATTCTATACATTTTATTTACCAAAATATTTAGCATTTATTAAACATAATATTTTTTATTTAATAGTTAAAGTATTCGAATTAAAAAACTATTTGTTCACCATAAAAACAATATAAAAAAACAAATGCTTATTCATAATGAATAAATGTTATTTTAAGTAAAGTATTATTGGTATTTCTTTAAGATTACAATAAAATTATTTTTAATAATATATACATTTTATTCAAGTAAAGTATTACTGATTCTATTTTTAGAATATGTAATATTATTTTTTTTAAATAAAGAACAGGCTTATAGCTAAGTGTATATGGTAACTGAAAGCTGGTCGTAATGAATTTTTATTCTTTTTGTCTTCCCCATGCAATTTCAGTTGCTTAAATTGTATGTTCATCAACAAACGAAAAAATATATTATGGTGTTCTTTGTGTGCATTTAGTTTCCAAAAGCTGAAGGATTATCTTATAACTTTAGCTTCAGAGCGATCAGAATGGTTTTTTATATAGATTGTAGTTTCTTTTATGTTTTTCCAGCAGCGAGGTGCACTTGCAAAAAGCTTTTAATTTGTGCGAGTTTCAGCAAAACAAATAAAAACCCGGGGGCGAAGAGCAGTTGGCAAATTCAACACGCCTCATAACACATGCCACATGGCACATGGCACACATGGTGCACGTATGCGCCGGCAACTCTCCCGGAGTCCCAGCCACTTGCGTCCATGTTCGATGCGGATTGCACTGCCACAAGACTATTTAAAAATTAATACGACTGAAATCCACCATTTTCGCGCCAGTTAAGCAACAGGGGACAAGGGGTCGGAAGTGGCGGGGAAATGCGAACCGGAAATTGGGAATGAAAAACAGAAGGATATGCAGTGCAATGTGCCAGAGAGTCCGGCCCACATCTTTAATGCCCGCCTCCAAGATCAAAGGCACACTGTAAGCGGAAAAAATAAAGAACGACGAATAAAAGTTTTTAATACTTTTGGCCAAAAAA